ATTATTATTATTATTATTATTATTTCATTTCTATGTTCTTTATTATTAATGATGTTACATTTTGAATATGGATGTCATCTGCTGTAATTGTGACACCCTGTTCGCTGTGTGTGTTGCTGTGTTTGTGGGCCGGTCACAGAGCAGGACGCCACAGCTGCCTCTCATGAACATTCAGGTGACAAGCCAAACTACCTCGCTCTCTCTCTCTCTTGCTTACCTTAAAAGCCACCATCATTCTTCCTCTTTTGCTCTGCATTTGCTTTATATATGTATATATATATATATATATATATATATATATATATATATATATATATATATATATATATATATATATATATGTATATATATATATTATTATTTTTCAGCATTTGGATTCTAATATTAGTTATTATTACTATTGACCTCATCTGTTTGATATGCTTTTCTCTCTTATCTCTTTCATGGGGCAATGACAGCTGGAGCCAAGCTTGTCTCAGGCACAGCACACATTATACCTTTCGTTACTTCATCATTCATTCATAGAATTTTTAAGCACTATATGGCAGTAACAACCAAGGCTTGATCCTCTTTTTTTTCTCTTCCTCTTTTATGGGCATGAGATTACAATTTTTCTGTGCTATACAAGACTTGCTAGTCGGCCTCAGGAGAGTTGGCCTTTTGCAACGAGGTATCGTCCTGATGCTGCTCTATTCAGTACTCACCGAACCACCTACCAAATGTTTTCTCATTTTACCGAGACGAGACAGTCGGAAACATCTACAAGATGGCCGCCAGTAGAGGGGCACAGGGACTTGTGCCCAGAATGTAAACAATGTTGCTTCAACGAGTTTTCCGATACCTTGCACAAGCGGCGCTTGCCTGGTGAACATGTGGGCTAGTTTGATAGTTTTATTAATGCATGCTGTGCCCATCGTGTGAGTGGCAGTCAAAATCGAGTGGGTCCAGGGGCTATGCATGGAAATGCCATAAGGACAGTCAATGTAGCTAATACCAGCCATGTCGCTCACCTAAGAGCAACTCCTAACAACGGCCATTTTAAACCCATGTGGGTCATGCAGAACAAGGACTTTCAGAGGCTTGATAATTTGTCCACTATGCACGGTGAGAACTAACTCTAATGACCAATTTCACCAGGATTTAATAAGTCCTGGCGATTCATTTGCGATGATACGGCGAAGTTAGTTGTGATGAAGCTAGTTGTGACGAAATTAGCTATAACATACCTAGTTATTACGAAGCTAGTTATTACAATGCTAGTTATTACGAAGCTAGTTTTTGCTGAAGCTAGTTGTTATGAAGCTACCTGCGACTGAATTGTGACGAAGCTAGTTGTTACGAAGCTAGCTGTGACAGTGAGTTGTGATGAAGCTAGCTGGGACCAGCATGGTATGTGATGTCGAGAAAACTTACATCCTGCATATTTTTAAGCTAATTTTGCATTGCTCCATCATGTGCCCTCAGCTTGTTAAATATATATTTTTTTTTCTGGCACCTCTATCTACCTATACAATACATATATATAAGAAGATTGACTCTCACGCATCAAGAGTCATATTACTGCACTAGGGATTGCTCGCACGGAGGGTTGGGCTTTTGACCACTTATGTATATATATATATATATATATATATATATATATATATATATATATATAATATATTATATAATATATATATATATATATATATTATATTATATATAATGTATATATCTTCTGCTTGATCTACCGTCATTTGTTTGTGCTGTGTTGAAATAGCTTTCAAGTTTATTGTATCTTTTTCTTTAATTATTCTTTAGTCTCTTTTTTTTATCAAGTTCTGTGTTGGTTCACTCTGCATGACTCGGATGGTCATCGTTTTATTTTCTTTACTTGTCTTGTTACTTCACAGCATCTTCTGGTAATGTTTTGTTATTGTAATATTAATATTTATTATTGCTCGGGGAAGGTCTATGTCGCCCGGGGGTTCCAGACTTCGGGAACTTGATCGAGACGAGTTAGCTGGATCCATCACCCCATTTTTTGACCCCACTCAGTCCTCGCGGGTTTCGAGCTGCTCCATCACAGCACATTTCGCGCCGTTTGATTATCTCTCGCTTCGAGCCTCGTGGCTTTCTCCTCGTGTCTTCTTGCAGGCGTTTTTTAAAGATCGTTACTGGCGTTCGCGTTTTATTCCCTGACAAGCATTCCGCTACCGCTTCGGCGTGCCCACGAGCCATCCACCACTCTGTAGTGATCTGTTGCAGTAACCACTCCTGAGTAGTCTAATTATTCAATCCTTCTGAATAAGAAAGATATTTTAACATGTAAGTGTGAAGTCTACAGTGTTACTAGGTATAACGACACTCCTGGAAGAACACAAGAATCCTTTAACATATCGTCTGGTAGATATATTTTTTCATATAACTATTAATAAAACAAAAAGTTATAATAATAATAATAATAATAATAATAATAATAATAATAATAATAATAATAATAATAATAATAATAATCTCA